CGTAAGGGCCGAGCCGTAAAGACTATGAAACCATGTCAGCAAGGAGTTAGAAGAGGAAGGCCCAATTTTGTGTTTTTTTCTTCAAAGAAACAGCGCAAGCACTGTAACAACTTTCAAACTTTGGCGGTATATTGCAAGAATACTGGCAAAAAATGTATGCAATCAAGTACTTGATCAGTTTTGGTTCAACTAGATGATGAATGGCTGACCTTCGAATGCAAGAAATACCGCTCTCCATCCATAGTGACTGATGATGTATTCATTTATTGGTGAAAACAGTACTGTGCCAACGCCAGCACCAGCAACAGCAATGCCCGTAGCTAATGATCTCCGCCTAAACAGAAAAAGGACCTGAACCGTAGTATTCTCCAGGATCAAAGCAAATCCATACTCATAGAGGTAGAGACGGCTGCAGCAGGGATAAAAAGATTGTAAATCGAAAAAAACGATCCACCCACTTCTCGAAGTACATTGTTACGATGACAATCGCTGGACAGTACATGAGCCCGAATCCGACTCCCATTATCACTCCTACGGAGAACACGATCTGCCACATCTGCGTAGCAAAGTACGATATGCCACACCTGCATCAAAAAAAGCTATTTGATGAGGATGATAAAAAGGAATGAAAGTTTACTTTTCGGGAAAAGTAGTGGTATGAGCAGCCAAGGTGATACAACGAACTTGGGTGCAGGTGAGGGGTACATAGTCGATGGGTCAAAGAAGTGGAAGTGCACCCACTCAGGTCGCTCTGCGACACACCACCCGTTTGAAAACCCCACAACTACGAAGTTGGAGTGTTCCGTTTTTGAGTCCGAGGCCCCAGCGATTAAGTGCCTATTCTATATAGCTAAACGGCCAGCTACGTCACTGCCGGACTTAGGAGAGGAGGAAAGGTTCACTTCCGTAAAAACCGAAAACCTCAATCCCTTTGATCGTTTCACAGATCTGCACTAACATCAACATCAAAAACAGCTCAAAAAGGCTGCAGTAGGAGTACTCACCCAACAGCGGCAATAAGGGCTCCAGTGATTGTTGTGGCTCGACATCCATACTTGTTACAAATAGCCGAAGCCAATGGACCACTTCCGAGCGTCAGCCCAGTAAGAAGGGAAATAATCATTGCGCATACGGTATTATCAGAGTTGAATTCCTAAAATGGATATGGTTAAGGTCATGAGCCGGCAGGGGCACATCCAACGACAAAATATGTGCTTTCTTAGTATGATCGAAGCCCCTTGATAGGAGAAACTGCGCCAGTGCCCCTTCCTTAGTCCCGAAAAAATCGCGTCTACTGTGATGCAACACGCCCGACATCTTACGGTTATCCAGAGATGAAGTGGATGTATCTTAACTTCAAAACGTTAGAACGCGATTCGCAAATCGCAAATCAACTACAAAGGGGAGGACGGTACAACTTGGTTTCGTCTCAACGTCTATATTTTCATTTGCTAAACCACGGTTGTCTTTTTGGTACTGCAGAGAGCAAATGCAAGAAACTCTGCTGAAAGAGCTTATTATTTTTCAAATAGAATTTTATTTTAAGATTCGAAAAGTGGGAGAAAGAAGAGGTTCGAAAAGTGGGACTGGTTAGCTTGGACGGCGCTTCTGCTTGAACCACCGTCCAAGCTAACCAGTCCCCCATCAAATTGGGGTGAACCATTTGATTAGGGAAAATTTTTGAATTTAAGTGACATTACTATCGTTCTAGTGCTATTTATCTAGGGCCAGTTAGCATTACTGAAATCAACTTTAGAGTGACGATTCATTTGTGGCGACATCTGGAATAGTCAGCTTCGTCTGCTTAACCCTTCCATTGCTTATAGCTCCATAGCTCGACCAACTCAACAACAATTATCTATTCCAGGAGAACCTATGACTGTCTGGTGGCCTGAGTGGGTGTGATTAACTGTCTTGAATCTTCTGTCCTAGCATGGGTTCGATATTAATTAAAAATGGCAACTTATCTCCCAAAGCAAATCATTCTTTTTTCTCTCTCCATATTTATATTCGAATTAATTGGAACCGACACCGTAAAAGAAAATAATTTGGTTAACACAACAAACACAGTAAAGATCACTTGTGCGTTTCTCTCTGTATCAGCACTCACGATAAAAAATAGAGAATAAAAATATTAAAAAGTAGGAAAATTAATTATTAATGAAATAATTACGATACCCTTGCCAAGGCCAAAACGGTTCTAGTTCGAGCGGACTAAGACGAATTGATACATTGAACAGAGTCCAATGTAAAGGGAAAGTTTCAAAAATATCGAGTAAGAAAGAGTGGTGGTACAGTGGCAAGTTGCGCACCATCACACATGCAGTTGCAGGTTCAAATCCCGGACCTATGTATATTCGCCTAGACCAACCGAGCACTCCATCTCACCGAGGTCTGATGTTTGATACAAGGCTCGTCTGGGAGGATAAAAGCACTGATTTGTACATCGGCTGGCCACCGCAAATCATTGTATAGCACAAGTCACTACGCTCCTGAATTGAGGCCCATTCCTCAGACGAGATTG